CCCAAAGCATAATATTCATTTAATCTTGAAATGAAAATCAATGGTCTTGATTTGTCAAAATTATTGTTGATTTACTTTTTAAGATTAAATGAATCTCATGAGTTGGGTTAGAAAATTAGGGACTGGGGTTTATCCATTAGAGGTTAGGGTATAGTATCATGCCAAAAACTCCGGTTAATTCATGATCTAAATAGTAAAACTCAACGGGCGTACGGTAGACTAAGGTACGCCCGGACGTACGCTAGCCTTTGCCATATATATATATATATATGTTTTGATATGTTTTGATGTATTATGATTGGGGTGTAGATGAGTCAAATTGCTTACAAGAGGTTCGACGTTTAATTCAAGAAAAAACGAATCGAGTTTGAACTAAATTTTGTTTGGCTCGCAAGACTGTGAGCCAATTTAATACTAGTTACTATTAAAAGAGCAATTATGTACAATAAATAGCTCATATAGTACTTTTTTTTTTTTTGCGTACAGGGAGGCATTACGCCAAAGAAAAGAAGGGAAGAGGAGGGTTACAGATGGGGGGTGACAGGAGGAGGGATAATGAGCCTAGTAAAAGTGGCGCCTTCAGCGTCTTCCTGAAGGATCTGGAGAAGCTCAGTCGGAGGTGTTTCCAATTCATGTGTACCGTAGGGATAGACGAGACTGTGCTTCGAGAGCCAGTCCGCGACTCTATTCCCCTCTCGGTAAACATGCACCAGATTCACAATCCAATTTTGAGCAATCAAACGTCTAATGGCCATAAGAAGCGCTGCATAGGGGTGGACTGGGTCTAACCTTTCCTTCACAAGTTGTATCGCAAGTTGAGAGTCTGTTTCCACCAAGAGGGTCTTGCAATCGTATCTCCACGCCAGCTTAAGACCATGAAAGATGGCCCAAAGCTCAGAGCAAATGGCTGAGCAGGAGCCTACGCCAGCAACAAACCCCCTGAGCCAGCTGCCGTCGACACCCCTCAAAACTCCACCAGCTCCTGCAGATCCGGAATTTGCACTCGCCGCTCCGTCAACATTCAGTTTCGTCCAGCCCACTGGCGGGGGTTTCCATCCGACCTGAGCCTCAACTCGACTCCGTGGGGAGCTTATCCGCCGCATCAAAGGGCTCGGCGCATTCCAAGCCTTCCACCACAACTCGGACCTGATCCTCACAGCCTGCAAAAGAGAGGGAGCAGACAAGATCTTGTTCACCCCATGGAATACACCCTCATTCCGATTCTTCCACACGCTCCAAAGGGTGATGCTAAAGAAGACATTCCATGGGAGGCCTAGAAGAGTAGAGTCCTCGCATATGATATTAGCTCCCAACCAGCTGTTCCAGTTGCCGCTGAAGAAGCTCTGAAGCTTATCCTGATGGACGGTACGGCTCCAGAGATAAGCTGCCGGTGGACAGTCTCTAAACAGGTGCAGCGGCGTCTCCGTAAGCATGGGGCATCTGAAACAAGAGGAATCGTGCACTAGGTGTCTCCTCGCTCTTTCCTCGTTCGAGCTTATCCTCCCTTGAGCTACTAACCACATGAAGCATCTCACCCGCTCTGGCACTGAAAGGCTCCATATCTTCTTCCAAAGCTGTTGGTTGCTGTCTTCAACAGGTTCTTGAAGCAGCTGGTAGGCACTCTTGGTAGAGAATCTTCCGTTTGACGTTGGTTGCCATATCAGAGTGTCTTCTTCCGTTGAAAAAGGATCCACCACTCTCGCTGTGATTCGCCTAACGATGTCCGAGGGGAGAATGTGGTCAAATTTCTCCGTCTTCCAGCTCCCATCCTCGTCCACGTACTCCTTGACTCGCAACTCTCGGTCCTCCTCCGGAATCTGGGCCGTTGCAAGATCTTGAAGAGGTACCTGCGTTAACCAGACATCAAACCAGAACTTAGTACTATTCCCTCTATGAATATTCCAAGCGCACCCCTTCCTAAGCAGATTCCCTGCTTTAGTTAGGCTAGACCAGGTAAAGGAACTTCCCTGAGCAGGCTTCAGAAGGTTGAGATGAGCCTGGTCCTTCCCATATTTCGAACGGACCAGCTGAGTCCACAGGGTCTCTTTCTCTTTGACGACCCGCCACCCGCCTTTAGCCAGCATGGCTATGTTCACCTCTCTAGTCGATCTAATACCCAAGCCTCCATTCTTCTTAGGAGCCAACAGACGCTGCCAAGGAACCAGATGCAGCTTCTTCTTCTCATCAGAGTCCCCCCAGATGAAGCTCCTGTTAATCCGATCTAGAGACCTGCAAACATTCATAGGAAGCATCTCTGTTTGCATAGGGTAAATCGGGATAGAGGCTGAAATAGACTTCACCACAGTGATACGAGCGGCTAGAGAAAGGTGTCTGGTCTTCCAGGGAGCAAGCTTCCGTTGGATCCGCAGCATCAGGTCCTGATATCTGGCTCTAGTCACTCGGCCGTGAATCGCCATTACACCGAGATAGCGCCCAAGGTCCACCGTGAGCGGAATGCCTGCCCGAAGCGCCAATCTTCTCGCTATCCGCCTATCGATATTCGCCGAAACGAAGATTGCCGACTTTTCGTAGTTAACTCTATGACCGGAGCTATGGCAGAATTCGTCTAAACACTGCTTAATAATCCGCATCTGGCTCCCTTCTGCTTCTGCAAAGAGAACAAGGTCGTCTGCAAAAAACAGATGAGAAATCAAAGGTCCCCCCCTAGAGAGCCTTAGAGGCTTCCAGAGTTTATCTTGAATAGCTTGATCGATCCTGTGAGAGAGTCTCTCCATGCATAACACGAAAAGATAAGGTGAGAGCGGGTCTCCCTGGCGGACTCCCCTGGTGGGAGTGATGGGATCAGAGAGCTCCCTGTTCCAGAGCAATCGCATACTATTATTCTCAACGCAAAACATGATGCAGTTAATCCATGAGCTAGGCAGACCCACTTCCTTCAACGTATCCTTGAGAAAGTCCCACCTCAGTCTGTCATAGGCCTTCTCGAGATCAATCTTGAGCACGATGCCTCCCTTCTTGCCTTTCTTCTTTCTCAGGGTGTGGAGGACTTCCTGCAAAACAATAATGTTGTCAGTAGTCTGCCTCCCGGGAATAAAACTGCTCTGGCGCGGTGAAACAATCTTCCTCATGATCGGCTTCAATCGATTGGTGATGGCCTTCGTAATCACTTTCAGGCAGACGTTGTTGAGGGAGATCGGACTGAGCTGAGAGACTCTCTCCGGGTGATCCACCTTGGGGATGAGAACCACCGTCGACTCCACAACTCTCTCAGGTAGAATCCCTGTAGAAAAGAAACTGACAGCCATATCAATAAGAGCTTTCCCAACAGTACGCCATGCATGCTGGTAGAAAGCTGCCTGATAGCCATCAGGACCCGGAGCCTGGAAAGGCTTTATGTCATGCACCGCTCTATGGATGTCCTCTCCAGTGAAAGGCCGAAGCAGCAGAATGAGGTCTTCCTGAGCAATCCTAGGAAAGGCTTGCTTGGGCATCTCATCAGTGTACTCCTGGTTATCCTGCAAGTACAGAAAAGAGAAGAAGTCAAAGACCAATTTAGCGAGGTCATGAGGGTCAGATATCCACTCCCCATTGTTGTCCTTGAGGCTCTCAATCTTATTTCTCCGTCTGCAGATATTGGCTTGTTGGTGAAAGTAGGCCGTGTTGCGCTCCCCAAATTGAACCCATTTCTCTCTAGACCGCTGGAACCAGAGAATCTCTTCTTGCTCTAGGACTTTATCAAGCTCTTCCTCCAATTTAGCCTGCAGTTTAAAGAGCCCCGGCGAGAAGCTATGAGCCACTCTGGTTTGAATGCCTTGGATGCGACTCATCAATCTTCTCTTCCTACGATAGATATTCCCGAAGGTGGACTGGTTCCAGTGAGACAGCTTGCTGGCCAAATCTTGAAGAGCCTCCTGCAAAGGAACCTGCGAGTCCCAACTGTCAGACAGAAAGGTATCATACGACTCATGAGTAAGCCAGGCACCTTCAAACCTAAAAGGACGAGGAGGAGAAGCAGAATGCACTCCCTGATTTCCAAGAGACGTAAGAATCGGATGGTGGTCGGAGTGTAGCCGGGGAAGGTGGGTGACCGTAGAACCGGGAAAAGTTGCATTCCAAGCTGCATTGCAGAGACTCCTATCAATTCGTCTTGCCTTGTACGAGTTGGGCGTGTCTCCTCTGGACCAAGTGAACCGAGGTCCGGAAAAACCAAAGTCAATAAGCTCAGCTTGGCAGATCCTCTCGCTGAACCTCTTGCAACGTCAATAGATGGCAGGAATGACCGGGCCTGATTCAGTGGCGGACCCAGGATTGTTGAAGAGGGGTGTCGCCTAATGAACGAGTATCGATTATAATTATTAAAGCGGTGTCGGAAATCTCGTAATAAAATTTTTTGTACCAAAAAAATATAGGTTCTTCACAAAATTTTCGGGCGAAGGGGTGTCGGACGACACCCCTACGCAACACCTAGGTCCGCCCCTGGCCTGATTGCTCCGACGGGTCCATGATGGCGTTGAAATCTCCGGTTAGAAGCCACGGAAGGTCAAATTCTTCGCTAGCTCGTTGTATGGTGTGCCAAAGGAACCGCTGCAAACTTTGTCTGGAGCTCGCGTAGATGGCCGTCAACAGCCATGGCTGCGTGGAGGCCGACGAGACTTTAACCGTAAGATGTTGAAAGCACGCCGAAACCACCTCTACCTGGAAAACTTGAGCATCCGAACAGAGGCAAATCCCTCCTCGCCTTCCGTCAGCTTCGACACGCAAGACGTTCGGAAAGCCCATTTTCCCACAAATCCGGTTCGCCACCTCCCCGCTAATCTGGGGCTCCAAGAGGATCAAAAAATTCGGCTTATTCTGCTGAACGATCAGCTTCAGGGCCCGGGAGAAAGCAACACTACCCGCACCTCCTACATTCCAAGACAAGATGGTCGCACAACAGTTAGAGTTAAAATTGGAATTGATCGACATAAAAAATAAAACAGGGAGAAAAGAGAAGGGGGAAGGGAGACGAGTCTGAGAGATCCGAAAAGAGGAGCCCCCTATCAACACGAGCCAGCAGCTTCCGACGCTGGGCACGATTCCGCCCTACTCTCCGACTCCAGAGTTTGAAGCGAGCTATTCTCCGCTGTGCACGCCTTCGCCGCTCCCGTCCAAGCCTCTATCTCCTGCAGAGTAAGAGAGGCTAAGCGGGCTCTGGCTTTATTCTTTTTGTCCTTCACCGGCGTCCAGACTTGCAGAGCTTTGGTTGTGATCGTCACTAGGTTCTTCCGCGGAGATTTGGCTTTCTTCTTCTTGTGAGCTCGCTGATTTTTGGTTCTCAGCACCGACGAAGGAGCATCTTCCCTCTGCTCTCCCGTTTGCAGGCTCTCGAGGTTCGGGACGGAGACGATCTGAATTGAAGTGTTGTTTGGGCCTGTGACAATTTGGGTTGGTGGGGGACCTGAGCTGGACGGGCCAGCTTCATATTGTGAAATAATATTAGACTTGTTGGGCTTCGGCCCGCTCTTGTTGTCCAACCCAGTTGAAACCGTCTCCTGCCGTTTTCCTTGTTCCATCTCAGCCTTGTTGGGCTTCACGAACAAGGCCTTGTGCTTAGGAGGTATGGGCCCCAGCACCCCCCTTCCCCCTATCAGAACCTCCGCCGAGGCTTTTCCCAGCCTCTCTTTTCCTTTTTGAGGCGACCCTTCCGAAACTTTCCCTTTGTCTGATTTGCCTTGCTTGTGAAAATCTAACTGTTGGCCTTGCGGTTCCTTGTTTCCTCCCTTATTTCCCGTTCCACCTTCCTCATATTTCGATCCAGCCTTTCCTTTCTCGTTTTTTCCCCCGAACACGAGATCTCCCTGAAATCCGTCCGAGTTTCCTTTTTCTTGCGCCCGGATTCCCCGCCTTGATCGCCGTGTGACCTGCATCCACGGGCCGAAACCAGCTTTGTCCTCCGACGTATCTTCCGACCCTTTTTCCGGCGACAAAAAACCGGCTCCGGCCACAATCGACAGCGTCGGTTCGCACAGGGATGGGCAGGTCTCTGCTGAGTGCCCTATCTTCCCACACTCGAAACACACCTTCGGCAGGTTTTCATACTCTATGTACTGCCATTTGCCATCCAACCGAACTCGAGTAACCAGAGGTTTAGACAAATCAAGCTCCACGGCCATCCGGGCGAACTTCACTCGTTGTTGATGCTGTGTGTGAAAATCCAGCTTGATAGCTCGCCCTATCATGTTTCCTAAAGAAAACAGGATCTCTTGATGGTAAAGATGAATCGGAAAGGTTGGAAGCTGAACCCAGACCACCATCGTCCTCGGCAAGTCGTCAGACAGACGAAAAGACGGCGTCCACTGGAAGACAATGCAGTAGTGATCAAAGATAGTCCAGGGTCCCTCCGTCAGCGCTCGGAAATAGTCTGTATCATTGTCCAACTTCACCAAGAAACACTCTTGCCCTAGCACCATGATGTCAATCGCCCCCGTCGGGCGCCACAAGGCTTTAATTTTGTTGCTGAAAGTCAGAAAGGAGATTTTCAACCCCATGGTACGCACCACCAGGGAACGTTTCCATTGGATACACAGTTTTTCTCTGAAGGCATTAGAGATCTTCAGCTCCGGTTCTCCGTTGAAGGTTCCTGGCAGCAGATCATGCTCTCCAACCGGCACCCACAGACTCTTCCCTCTGTTTGTTTCTTGGGATTGTCCTGTAACCATTTGCGCATACGAGACAGGCGGCACGGCCACTGCGGGGGGGTTCGGAGGCCCCTTTGGGTAGCAGCACCGGCGAGGAATCTATCATCATGGACGTATCGCCCATCCGAAGGTTAGAAGACACAGTTTCGGTCCTATCCCCTTCTCCCAGGGGGGGGTTGCAGCACATCCGGCGGCCTTCCCAAAGGGCTGGGGTCGGTCGCCGGCGGAACAGGAAGAGAGAGCATACAAAATTTTCAGAGCAAAATTTTCAAGAGCAAAATTTCAAATGCATTATCTCCAGCTCATATAGTACTTAGTACTTACTCTATGATAACATTATCAGAATAATTAAAATTTATGAAAAACGATAGGATAATCGACAATCTCGCTGGGTAATTAATGAGACAATCTCGAGTAGAGCTCAAGAGCTTATTAATGAACCGAGCTCCATCGAACTCAAGTCAAACACAAGCAAAAACTTCCTTAATCAAGCGACCGAGATCGAATTTGACTCATTTATTAACAAGGCCAACCCAAACTATATAAAATTTCAACTCAAATGGCTTATTTGCTGCCCTAAGTATAACAATCCCATAAAAATAATAGCAACTTCCGGATCACCCCTACTTGGTTTGCCTTATTACGCTTGGTGCCATTGTTTTGGTTTCCCAGATGCTCGTCCTCTGCTAATCGGACAGTTTTCCTTTGCCGAACGAAATGTGAGCATTAAATAAGAGAGCAACCCAACCCCCTAAATCTAAAGCAGCGGAAAATGGTTGGTAGGTTGAGAAAAAAAGAAAGAAAAGAAAGGAAAAGAGAAGAGTGTGGTTGTTACTGGTTACAGAGCAAGCAACCAGAGGGCCAAGTGTAGACAGACAGGAACAAAAGAAGGGGACAGTACAGTACAAACCCCATCCAATCCCAACTCGACAACGCATCCTCAAACCACGAAAAACCCTTTTCTTTAAAACCAAAAATAAAAAAAAGAAGAACCCTTAAATTCCCACATCTCTCATTTCATCATTTCCCATCCATCCACCCACCCATCTTTCCTTCATTACCTATTTACATTACGGTGAATAATATTTTTCACATATACCAATACCACCACCGTTAGGTTACTCCTCCTATTTCTCTCTCTCTCTCTCTTCACTCTGAGGCCAGGGGGGGTTTCCAATTCTATATATGTGCATGGTGTCTTAGGCAGAACTCCATTTAGCAATCAAAGCAGAGAGGGTAAAGAAAAAGGAAAACCCAGAAAAGAGAGTGAGAGGAAACAAACACAGAAACAGAAACACATTCTAGTTATAACCAAGTCAAGTAGAGGTGGCAATTCTTCTCTCTCTTTCTGTTTCCGTGTAAGTGTAGGTAGAGAGAGAGTTGTGGTAGCTGCTGCCATGCCATAGACACAGAGAGAGAGAGAGAGCTTTTACCATTTAGATTGGTTTCTTTCTGGGTTGTGTTGGTTTTTTGTGGGTTTGTTGAGGTCTGGCTGTTTGGGTTATTTTGAGCAAAGATCAGCTACCCACCTGAGAAAAAAAATACAGCAAAAACAAGCCATCCATCATATATATATATATACAGTCTTTAATTAAGTCCTAGAATACAAATACAAGTGTTGCGGAGGGGGAAAAGAAAAGAAGAGAAGAGAAGAGAAGAGAAAAGCAAAGCAAAGCAAAAAAATGGGTCGGGGGAGAGTGCAGCTGAAAAGGATAGAGAACAAGATCAACAGGCAGGTGACTTTCTCAAAGAGGAGAGCCGGTCTGCTGAAGAAAGCCCACGAGATCTCTGTTCTCTGCGATGCTGAAGTCGCCCTCATCGTCTTCTCCCACAAAGGGAAGCTCTTCGAATACGCCACCGACTCCTGGTACTAATTCATTTCTTGATTCATTTGCTTTCTTTTGTGTTACCGTACCAGCTACCTAATTGTTTCAGCTTCCTTTCTCTCTACAACAATAATTCATGTGGATCCATGTACGTACTCTATAATATATGCATAAAATAGTTTTCTTCAACCAAAACGAAGAAAGCGAAATCTGGGTTTTGGGTGATTTGTGTGAGCTAATCGAGTCTACGGATCTGATGGGTCATATTTTATGTTCCTTTTTTTTTCGTCCCTTGGTTTTCTTCTTCTCGTTAATTACAGCAAGTACAGTACGTAGAAAGATGGCTTCTTTTTGTCCGGTGGGTTTATCGGTGGTGCAACATCCAAGAGGACTCGTCTCTCTACTCATTTTAGTTTAGATTTTAGAGTGTCTGCTTTGTTTTTGTTGTACGTTTGATGTGTCCTACTGTTGCTTTCTTTCTTCCTTGGAATTAGGGCTCTGCTAATATGGAGAGGGAGTCCAGTTTTGTCTTGTTTAGATTTGGTTTGTTAATAGATGAATCAAATTCGAGTTGAGTTGTTTATTAAAATCTTGACTCATCATTCAAATTACCGATTTAACTTAATCTTAATGCGTTTATTTTAAAATAATTTATAGATTAAATATCATAATTTTTGTACGCCAAGCTAGATATATGTGATTAACGAATCTTGTGCTTATATAGCATATTGTTTAGTTCATAAAGTTTCATAGTAATTAGTATATAAGCAATCTATGATGCTTAATTTCTCTTTTCAATTGTTATGTGACATATTTGCTCATATACTCAAAGTGGTCTTATATATATCAATTGAATGATATATATAATTTAAACAATCTATGAATTATCAACAAACCAACTCATAATATATAAATCAATTTGCTCATAAGTTGGTAGTCGTGTTGGCTGGTTAGCCACAATGCTAAGACATCTCGTGAACTCGGGACGAGACAATTCACGAATTGAGTTTAACAAGTCATTGAGTCGAGCCAGCTCGCGAGGCTTACAAGCTTAACATAACAAGACTAATTAGCTCAAAGGTGACTCGTTAGTAAACGAGTTGAGACTCAAACAGTCCCGAGTTGAACCTCGACCCCCTCTGCTTATTAGCCGTCCTACTTGGAATGGTCTTGTTTAATTTGTACGTTGGTGTTGAAACAGCATGGAGAAGATACTTGAGCGGTATGAGAGGTATTCATATGCTGAGAGGCAGCTTGTAGCTTCTGAACTTGACACCCAGGTAGACAATTATGGACTATTTATCTACTCACCAAATCCTGATGATTAATTAAATTAATACACTGTATTTCTAAATGTTAATGAAAATAGAATTTGCAGGGGAACTGGGTTGTGGAGTACAACCGGCTGAAGGCCAAAATTGAACTTCTGGAAAGGAACCACAGGTATATACAATTAAGTTTTCATTAATATGAAGCTGCAGAAAACTACTAAGATGGAATTTCATAGTTTGGTTCCTTTTTCTTCGTTTGTTTTTTTTTTTTTTTTTCTGAACAAAAATAAACGAGGATTATTATGGTTGGTGCAGGCACTATATGGGGGAGGAGCTGGACACCATGAGCACCAAAGAGTTACATAACTTGGAGCAGCAGCTTGATTCTGCTCTCAAAAACGTTCGCTCCAGAAGAGTATGTGTAGATTAATATCATGCCATTAAATATTAATCAGTTGTGTTTAGTTAAAAGAATCATTAACTGAGATATCTATTCTCCCTTGGTTTCAATGGCAGAACCAACTGATGCAAGAGTCCATCTCTACCCTTCAGAGAAAGGTGAGCAAGCCATATATATAAATATATAGTTAGATATGTACATGAAACTTGTGTGTCATAAGAAGTAGTAATTTTGCCTTATTGCCCAATGTTTTCTTCTAGTCTAGTAGCACAATCACCTTCTAAAACGGGTTGGATGTTTCTATTGATACATTATTAATTAGCCCATCTGCTTAATGTTATGAGGTAGGTATAGGACTTAATTGCCCAATTGCGAGTCTCGTCTGTAGGCTAGGTTTCACACATCAATGAAATTTTGATTGGTGGAAAAGTTGCTAGGGCTTACATAATATGACAAGACAAATGTTTTTGCATATCTTTTGACAGGAGAAGGCAATCCAAGAGCAAAACAATGTTCTAGCCAAGCAGGTCGGTTGGTTAATTTTTACGTACTTTTCCAAATTACCACATCATCAGAGAGTATTATGAGAAATTGATCAAGTTCCATCCATCTTATCAATGTTACAGATCAAGGAGAAGGAGAAGGTGGTGGGCGTGGCAGAACATCAACATCAGCAGCAGCATCAGCAGCAGGCATTCTGGACACACCAAAACCAGCATGCTCCAAGCCCTTCACATTTCCTTCTCCCGCAGCACGCACCACCACTCCCTTGCCTAAGCGTTGGGTAAGTTTTAATCATTTTGCACAAACTTGTTATTCATCTTACCAATTAAACGACCTCGATCACCGGATCTTGTTTGGTTATGCAGTGGGACTAGTTACCATGAAGATCATCACCACCACCATCATCAGGGTTCGGAAGGCAGGACGAGCAGGAATGACCTTGACCTCACTCTGGAACCCATTTACTCCTGCAACCTTGGCTGCTTTGCTGCCTGAGAATTAAGATTTCGGCCCGGGGAACATCAAAGGAGGAGTTCAGTATCAGGCTTTCAGCCATGCACTCTTATTATATATGCACTGGCTAGCCAAGGCTGCTACTTTTGGTTGGCTTATTTAGCTCTTTAATTGTATGTTTTGGGCACTAAACCATGAATGTTGAACTTGTTTTTATGCATTATATGTAGTTTATAAGCATCTTGGAGAGGTGAAAGGGAACTTGGGGAAGGAACCGGATTTTGATTTATTGCTCATGTTTGATCTTCTTTTGGAGATTATGCTGGTGTATGTGTATATTATGAATTTAGAGCCAATTCCTGTTTCATCTTCTTTTGGAGATTCTGCTGATGTTTCACTTCAGATTCTGGATAATTAGGATTAATTCATCAATACTTTTATGGTTGATGAAGTGAAACTGGGAAATAATGTGTTACCAGGAAATGGATTGATTTCTCTGGGGTCTGTTTTAGGGTTTAAAGAAAGCCTGATTCCTGATTTACGAAAAACATGCTAGCTGTTTTTGGACTTCCTCAAGAAATCTGGGGGGCAGATCATTGATCAATTGGGACATCAAGTCGTTAGTTTGAATGGAGATGCTTTGGAAAACATGGATCAATTGCCGATCCCTTTTTTCTGTTATTTGGTTCCATATGGACAAAAAGTGGCTATGACAAAAAAAAAAAATAAATAAAAGGAACATGATTGATTTTATCTACAGAAGCTGAATGAACAAATAGAACCAAAATTGTAGTGGGGAAGCAACATGACGGAGTGTTGATGTGTAGAACCCAGAGGAAGAAAAGTGCTTCTTTTTCTACAAGTTGGCATGGCTCTGAGTAGGCTGAATATTAGTATTGATCTCTCTTCAGTTTTCTTCATCAAATACAAACTGCTGTGGAAACAGTAACGTAAGGAGTGTCAGGTGATGAAAAATGCATAAGCCCAACCAAATAACATATAGAGAAGCATAATGGGGAGAAAGTGCTTATTTCCCCAGAGAAAATCCACAACAGTTCTCCCAATGAAGCCCTTCTGTAAGAATTTGGCTATCCTATCCTATGAATGGTTGTAGGTGCTTATGCTTTCTCAGTTGTAGTGCATGAAAAAGCGAGAACAACATGAGTGACTGCAATGTGCTTGTAACCAAATGAAGTACTAGTACATAAGGATGCTTAGGCCTAAACCAAACTAGATTCTTACGACTTTGATAAGGAACTGTTACTGTTGGAGAATTAACAGTTACCTTGTTGCAGATTGGGCATGCTGCACTTCTCTGCGCCCACTCCAGTACGCAGGGAAGATGAAAATAATGCTTACATTGCATGTCAGTCCTCGGATTCTGGCTATCATACTCTGTCAGAACATATATATATAATCAACACATGATCCACCAGAAAAATTAATCAAACCATTCAAGTAGGTAATTTAGTTATACCCAAGAGAAAGGGTAAATCGTGTATCAAAATTCTTAATTCTTACCTTCAAGGCATATGGGGCACTCGTCCACTGCACCTGATGGGGGAAAGTAATAGTCCGGAGCAGTAGCCTTTGAGGGGTAAATAAACTCTACTCCTTCTTCCTTGCTAGACATTCTGTTTTGGCTTCCACGCTGCAACACGAAGCACAGAAGTAAACTATCTAGCTAATCAACCCCTCAGATTCCACATTAGCAATACCCTACCCTACACTAAACTACTCAAATGTTAGTTCAGTCCTAGCTAGCTAACTGGTTTCTATGTATGTCTATGTACCTCCATGAAAAGGGAGCTGGGTTTCTCTGAAGATCGCTCCCTGTAGTTGACGTTAGCATCTTGTGTTGCGCTATCAGCGACATCAAAGCAGCACAGAACCCCACCCATTGCAGAGAGGAATTGCAGTTTTCGAACTTGTGATCTTAGTCGATCAATAATGCTTCTGCTGCAGGACACGTAAAAGTAGACATTAACAAAGTAAGAACCCTGATGGGCGAAGATAGATAGATAGACACAGACGGTGAAACAAGGAGTTCAAATTTTCAGTCAGGTATTTATTTACTCGAACACGTAACCGAAACACACGAGAAATCAGAATCCCGACACTATTTTGTCGACCCAGAAGGGATAGAATGCTCGGAGCTTGAAACCAGGGGAAACCCAATACTAAGGAAGGCAAAACAATAACAGGGTAGGCGAACAACATACATGGAAACAAATCGATTGGGGGAAAAAAAAGTTGCGACCTTGGCTGCTGGTGGTATGAAGTTGGGTTTGAATCTTTTGGTTGTTCTATTTTTTTCCCCTTATTTATTGGGGAGTTTGAACTTGAAAGCTCGTCACTTTTTCCTGGGGAAGAAATCAAAGTAAAAGTCGGAAAAGGAAATTTTGTTAGGGAAGTGGAAAAAATTTCTGCAGTTTTCTGACGAGACCATAACTAGGTAGGACTGAGACCTTCGGATTCTTCGACTGTTCGAGTCCTGACTCCTGACCAAGGTTACGGCTATAGGAATAGGACTATAAGATTTCTGAATGGAATTTAGGTATTTAATCATATATGTGATCAACTGATGTAGTGCTTTTCCACCAAGAAAAATATATTTAGGAGTCGTTTGAAGAATATGAGTTTAAATTTATAGATTGTCAACAATCTAAAAATTCTAACTATTCGGATTATTGAAAATAGATTTTAAAATGTTTAGTGTTTGGTAACTGTGATTGTTAACCTTCAATGTACATAAAAAAATAATTTTATTTAAATAAAATGTTTATCCTTAATAAAAAATTAGAGTGGTTCAAGAAATATTAAAAAATTTGTTGATAAATATATTTAATATGATAAATAAATAAAAGAAAGAGAAAAAGTAGGAGGAAAAAATCTCACGAATCAAGATATAAAATCTCTCTGATTATGAGAGATTTGATATCCGTAGATTTTAGAGATTTGAAATCTCTAAAGCTCAAATCCACAATACAAAAAGCAACAAAAAACATAACTTTCTGCACAATCTATGGATTCAACGAATCCACGCCCTAAATCCCGTTCTCCAAACGACCCCATAACTTTGTGACAAAATCTACGGATTTAGAATCCACACCCTAAATCCCGTGCTCCAAACAAACTCTTATTGTCTGAGGGTGTCACTTATCGCCATCGGTAACTCTTTAGGGATTTAGCCCAGTGCTAATTATAATATTTTACAATAAAATTAATTTAAAATAAGAGATAACTTAACGAGAGTAAAAGGGTATTTGAGGAATTGAAACATTGCATATTTAAAACTGTTTACACCATAAAATTTGTCTGGTACCACATTGTTGAGTTACAAGATAATTATTGAGTTTATAAGGCCACACTCATTATAACAATTAATGTTGTTTCAGTTGGGCCTTATGGATATTGATTTTAAGCCCAAGCCACTAAGTCTAAAGAGGGACATGTCGCCTCATCAAACAGAGTTGCGTCCGTATGAAATCTAGAGGCCATGCCGCCTCACAAATAAGACCGAAGGAGTGAAAATTTAACTAAGTCTGGAAGAGGTACATGCCGCTTCACGGAGAAAGACATGCCGCCTCATCAAAGAAGAACACGTCCATCTAGAATATAGACACACATGCCTTCTCAAGGAAGGCCTGGTATGATAAAAAAATATTCTAAGTATGAGAATATAGGGCCATGTGGGTGATTAAGAGGTCCATGGCCGTGTCATATGTGACGGCCATGGACACGAGACAAGAGGACCTGGGCACGTGAAAAATACTAAGTAGGAGGAGGCCAATGCCGTCCAACGGAAAGGGCCACAGACATGAATGAGAAGTCCATGGTCGCGAATAAAGAGGCAATGCCGCCTCATGATCTAAACCAAACAACCGAAAATATTCTAAGTATAGGGGAGGACTTGCTGCTTCATGAGGGAGGCCATGTCCATGATTGAGAGGTCCATGGGTGCAAATAAGAGGCCATGCCATATGATAATTCTGAGAGGCCATGCCGCCTCACGAGAGGGGCCATGGACACGAAGGATAATGACATGGGGATGAAATATTATATCACTAGAGACTAAGTCCCAAGAGGGCCATGGACATGAGTAAAGAAGTCCATGACCGTGATATATGAGGCAAGCTACAAGATCCTACGACGGTTTCAAGAGATGTACCTGGGCAGTTGAGAAATAACGGCTACTCATCCCACGTTCAAAGGACACGTCAGCCACGTTCCGAGGAAGCAGGGAGCAGTTCTTTTTGGAAGTTACTCTATGACAGTTTCTACGGCGGTTATCATCTCAAGGCCTATAAATAGGAGGAGGAGTCGACAGAGGAGAGCCCCGCAAAAAATCACCACTCGACACCACTTGTCAAGTTTTATCAATCTTATCTTTCCTCTGCAAATTTTTATCAGTAGTCGTAGATTTGGAGCTCTCTCAGAACCTCCATAGGAGTAGGAGTAACTTAATGTAGATCTGTCTCGAGATTCGTGTAAACATCGAACACCCTCGTTCGAACTGTGTTTGAAGAGGTGTGAACCATGTTTAGTGATCGTTGTCCAAAGAAGTCAAAGGTGCAATCAAGTTATTTCAACGCAAGTTTTCTCGCCGGAAAACAAAAACATAAAACTGAACTAATTATTTGTTGTCTTTACAATTCGATGGAGGCTTATTAGTAGTGATTTGACAATTTTGTAGCAGTGATTTCATGGATAAGGCTTTAATTTGTATGAAAACAACATTGACTAACAACAAATAAGTCCTACATTCTAACATTAATGGTACTTAGGATACTTTAAAATGTTGGGTGGTATACACTAGGTGCAATGTGCTTAGGATACTTCAATTTTGTTGTATGATAAAATGGATTTTCTCCCAAGAAATGATAAGGTAGAGATATATAAAAAAGGGTTAATATCTTATTTTATCCCGAATTATACCCACATAATCAAATTTGCTCTATAGTTTTAGAATTGTTATTCTGACCTCAACTATACCAATTGACCAGACGCGTGTTTTGATCGTCGATTTAGATGGTCAATGCGGTTGACTAACGGTTAACGCTCCAGCTCACTGTCATGTCATCAATATTAAAAAAAAAAAATGTATTATTGTTGGAATATTTTTAGTTATTTTTTTAACAGGAGACCTAGGCTAATAAATTAAAAAAGAGAATTAAGCCTCGTAGACCTGGGTTACAAAATCATTAATGAGAAGTCCAAACAAGTGCAAAAGGGGGTCTTCCTTCCCACAAAACCCTTTGTTCCCAATTTGTGAAGATACGAGTAAAAGAGTGGACAATCTCATTTCCATTTATTCTAACGAAACTCCAACCTTCTTATGAAAAAATAAATGAAACTCACCCAACAATTCTTCCTTGGTTTTATAACTGACGAATCTTCTCTCCAATCCATTCCAGCTCGGTTCTATCCTCTTTTTCTCATGACATTTTGCTCATCCTTCT